AGATTCGCGTCCGGGATGGGACAAGAGTTAGGGAGTCGGGGATATTGGTCCAAAATTTAATGTCTAGGTTTCGGCACAAAACTTCTGGAGCTCCGAGGGTTTGCTGCCCGGTGGTACAGGGCATTTCGGGGAGTAAACCTGAGTAAACTCAGGTTTTGATCTGTCCACACCACATAGTTCTATTTCAAAACAAAGCAACATCCCCCCTTAAAAAAATCTAGGAAAACAAATGCTGTTAGTTCAGCAAACCAAGGTTTTTTAAAAAAACAACCAGAAATAACATCCCTGATTATAAAGCACAGGAGCATGGACTGCTACAAACTAGTGCCTGGATTGTAGTTTTAAAATGTGGGCTTTCATCCCATGGTTTAAATCCCTTTCAAATAAAGCTGGCCGAAATAATGCAGCCGTTTCAAAGCGGCTTCTTATTGGCCTTCTCTCACGTTGCCTTCAAACCGATCGGCTAATTGAAGGGTCCCTTAAAAGCATGGCAATCAAATGGCAGGAGAAAACAAACCAACACACACACACAACGCAGCGCAATGTTGCCAGGCCTGCAGGCCTTTCTCAAAAAAGGGAAACCAGCCGCAAAGTCAGGCCTAGGCTGTAGGTTGGCAAATATGAGAAATCAGAAATGTTTGCTTGGATCCCAGCAAACAGAAAACAGATGCGTGGGCTGTTGTTATTTTTATTGTTTTGTCTGCTGGGAGGGGGGGGGAGGAAGACCGGCTTCTCTCCCCACCTCGGCCCCACAACTCAACTGGAACAAGTGGCTGCCCAAGGGACTCATATGGAGGGGGCAAGGAGGAAGGGGGGTTGTGAAAATCCTCCAGGGAGAGCACCTTCTTACGTCACTCAGCCCCCTTCCCATATTCTCCATGGTCACCCTCATTTCACAACATGACACAGAAGAGACGGGACAGACCCGGATGCCGTTCGCTGGGATGAAAAAGGGGAGGGAGGCACCCTCAGAAGTTTGAAAGAGGAATTCCAGCAGGCGCCTCCCACCCCTAGGCAAGCAACCAAAGGAAAGTTGCCTTTAATAACCCCCCCCAATAATAATTTTTTCTTTTGCAGATATAAAAGGAAGAGTGTCTCTCGGCTCCCGGATGGCATTTATTTATGAAACTTGGGTGGGAAAAAAAAAATACAAGGGGTGTTAAAAAATAGCAAATATAAGATTGTCTCCATAAAACAGGATTTCCCCCCATTCTGTACCTATTTTGCTTTGCATTTAGATTCAGCATTTATTTTCAGTCTCCAAAGCACCGTGTGTGTACATAACGGTGCAAGTCTGCAGAGGGAGCAGGGCTGTGGCAACTCGGATGGGAGACGAGAAATCTCCTTCTGGGATATGTGTTGTGTGGACAGGGAAGGTCAAGGAAAGGGAGTCGGATCCTTACGAAGGGAACACCTTCACATGGGTATATTTGCAAGCATCACAACTTCAGAAATGGGCCCTCAAATGTCAAAACCGGCGGCTGCCTGCCTTTCTCTTTTCTTGCACCCCGAGGTGGGCCGCCTACTTAAAAACAAAACACCAGCTTTTTGTCAGGCCTCTTTAAGTGCTGGAAAAAAAAAACGGAAACAGAAGGGGCCAAGATAATAGTAACAACACTGCTATTTAACTTAATTTTGACTTTTGGTTAAAATGTATCTCTGTTATATAATGCCAGTCGAAGGCTGTGATTCTTGTATTCTTGAACAAAAAAAATTGGCAATACTCAGAATAGAATGGTAATGATCATCGTGACCTGCCAAGACATGCATGGATGGATAAAGGTTGCACTTCTGTTTTGAAGGTGGAGGTGCGCTGGGGGGGGTTCAACAGAAGTCAGGATCTGGGCTTCCCGGCGTAAAGAATGCTCGAGGCAGGACTGAACTCTGTAGCGCTCTACAGTGCCCCCTCTGGCCATTTTCGGGAGTGTCACCAGCCCGGGGAGGAGGAAGGGGGGGGGCTGCAGGGAAGACATGCCTCTAAGGAAGAGGAAGTCTTCACTGGACGGGGGGGGGCGGTTTTGGGGGGAGAAAAGCGGAGAGGCCCCTGTGGAAAGGATGCAAGCGGTGGATCCGCCGGAAAGGGGAGTGATAGTGGTCGTGGGGATGACAAGGCTCCGAGGGAGGCAGGGATTCCCTGAGAATACGACCCCCATGCACAAGCCCCCCCCCCTTTCCTGACTCCCAAACTACCCCGGAGCATCGAGGGCCTGGGATTGCAAAGAGGGGTGTGTGTGTGTGTGACTGCTCATAATAAGAGTTTATAGCCATCTTCTGGAGAGGGTGTGCGTGTGTGTGTCATACAACGAGGGCACAGCCTCTTCTTGACTAGCTTCCAGACAACTTATTTATAACCTCAAAACACCAGATATTGGCCTGCCAGGCGAAAGGAAAGAGTTTTATTTCCAGACCAATAAATAAATAAATAAATAAAAAGTGACACGGAAGGAACATTCAAGGCACAGAGAGGAGCCACTGCCTGCTCAACCCACGTTCACGCGCCCGCCTGCCCCGCCCGTTTTCGGATGGATTTGCAAACTTTCCCCGGTTTCCACGCCGTCCTTCCACCGAGGGGAGGACGCGGCGCACCCGGTCCTCGTTCTAACTGCCTGCAAGTCAGTAAATACAATATATATATATAAAGGCTGCCTTTTTCCTTGCAGAGCCTTTCACCGGCCGAGGAGGGCTGGCGGGGCCCTCGAGTGCGCCCGGTCGCTGTCCTCCCCCCCCTTTGCAAACTTTCCCCGGTTTCCACGCCGTCCTTCCACCGAGGGGAGGACGCGGCGCACCCGGTCCTCGTTCTAACTGCCTGCAAGTCAGTAAATACAATATATATATATAAAGGCTGCCTTTTTCCTTGCAGAGCCTTTCACCGGCCGAGGAGGGCTGGCGGGGCCCTCGAGTGCGCCCGGTCGCTGTCCTCCCCCCCCCCACCCCATACCTCCCCCACCGCCCAGGAAAAGGGGGAGGGGGGGGGAAAAAGAAAGAAAGCCGCCGGGTTATTTTTAGATCCTCGCTGAACCTTACGGCGATTAGGGGTTGGAGTTCTGATTAAACCAAGGAAGAGGAGAGAGATCCACGCCACGCGCAAAGGCGCACGCCGGTCTCCGCGGGACAGAGGCCGCCCCCCTTTCCTGTGGGGTTACTTTGTATCCCCTTTCCTGTGTGGGGGGTTACTTTGTATCAACCACCACCACCACCACCCCTTTGATCCCTGTGGCTTCCCTTCTCATCTCTCCGGCTCCCCCTGGCCCGTCCCTGCCC